TTACTAGTGCTGTTAAATGATTAATCGGATTTACCAATTAATTCTTTAAAAATCCTACAATGTGATTTTCTGGATTTTTTTTCTCATTTTGTCTCTCATAGTTGAGGTATACCTATGATGAAAATTACAGGCCTCTCTCATCTTTTTAAGTGGGAGAACTTGCACAATTGGTGGCTGACTAAACACTTTTTTGCCCCACTGTACATGTGTGTGTATTTATATATACATAATAGACATACACAGCACACACACATATATTATGTCAACATAACCTTTTATTTTGGATGCGATTAATCGCGAGTTTGACAACACTAATTTTTACATTTGATTATTTAGTTTTTCTTACTTGAATGCTTTTGTTTAGATGAAAAAAGTAATGCAGTATTTGTTTCTTATATTTGTTATATTGTTGTTTTTTGCATCTGTTCTTATTTTAGTAACAAAGATAAAATAAAAACGGCTATATTGCGATTATTAATATAGTAATTAATATTAGGCAAGGCAAGTTTATTTATATAGCACATATCGTACACAATGGTAATTCAAAGTGCTTTACATAAAATAAAGTAAAATAATAATTAAAAATAAAATAATCACAAAAATAAAACAAGGAATTTAAAAACTTTAAAATTGATTTAAAATGAATTTAAGACAGTTAAAAGTAGAAAATGATTATACATACATAAAATACAGTGCAATCAGTTCGGACATCGCACAGTGCTCATTCAGTAAATCCACAGCTAAACAGATGAGTTTTGAGTCTAGATTTAAATGTGACTAATGTTTTAGCACATCTGATCTCTTCTGGAAGCTGATTCCAACTGCGGGTGGCATAATAGCTAATTTGGAGATAAGGCTAGGTAAATCTGGGTATCATCAGCATAGCTGATAGAAAAAAAAAAAAAACTTTTTTCTTTCTCTTTATTTATTCCTTCCCTTTTCTAGCTTGTACTTATTTGAACAATGCCTAAAACTTGGTATTTCAAGCACTTCTTGTGTCTGTTTGCCTCTTTAAGAAGAATCGCTTTATGTATTCCCCAATTGTAAGTCGCTTTGGATAAAAGCGTCTGCAAAATGACTAAATGTAAATGTAAATGATAGGCAATTTGGTTCTTTCTCAATATTTGACTTAGTGGGAGCGGGAGTGGTACAGGCTAAACAAGAGCGGTGCAAGAATTGAGCCTTGTGGGACTCCGCATGTCATGGACGTCCACGTAGACTTATGCTCTCCTATACTCGCATAATAACCTCTCCCTTCTAAGTATGACCTGAACCATTTGATTACCATCCCAGAAAGCCCGACCCAGTTTTCCAGTCTCTCTAGAGGTGTGTTATGATCGACCGTGTCAAACACAGCACTGAGATCTAGTAGTACCAGCACTGATATTTTGCCAGAATCAGAATTTAAGCAAATATAATTATCTTAATGAGCGGAAACCAGATTGAAAAATGTCCAGGTATCCATTTGAGTTTAAGTATTTGTTCAGCTGATTAAAAACTACCTTTTCAATTATCTTGCCTATAAAAGGAAGAATCATCATTAAGAAAGGAAGTGGAGGAAATGATGCAATGCTGCTTGCTGATTTTGCTTTGGAACCTTCAGAAGACTTCAACTTGAGTTTTCTCAGAACTGACTTTGCATCGACTTCAAACAGGTGTAGCTCAGTCATTTTTTCATCAGATTCCAACAACCATATATCATTTTGTAGGTCTTTTAATGGAGAATGTGACAATAAAAAACTCAGTTTTGAAAATATGCTCATTGTGACTCATTTTGCCAGCACAGGTCACATATGTTAGGATCTGAGTTAGTTTAGTCACTCTGCCTATTTAATGTTTAATATATGCAAGCCATGGCCAATGAAATTTCACTGTGGGTGGGGCTACTGTGCACAGAACTGACCAGTGTTATGTTTATCATTCCTTGTTTCAGAGGATTTTTTTTTTTAAGAGACTAAAAATTTTGTATATCATAAATTTAATTGTATACACTACTGTTCGAAAGTTGGAGGTCAGTAAGTAATTTCTTGGTAACACTATATACAATACGGTTTAATTTGTTAATGTAAGTTAACTACATTAACATGAATATCTTAAATTCAACATTTACTAATACATTATTAAAATTTAAAGTTGTATCTGTTAACAATAGTTAATGTACTGTGAACTAACATGAACATTTTATTAATAAATGTTGTAAAATATATCGTTCATCGTTAGTTCATGTTAGTTAATGCATTAACTAATGTTAACAAATGAGACATTGCTGTAAAGTTTTTTTTTAAAGAAATTAATACTTTTATTTATCAAGTGTGCGTTAAACTGATCAAAAGTGACAGTAAAGACATTCATAATGTTCCAAAAGATTTCTATTTAAAATAAATGCTGTTCTTCTGAACTTTCTATTCATCTGTGAATCGTGAAAAATAAAATGCATCACAGTTTCCACAGAAATATTGTGCAGCACAACTGTTTTCAACATTGATAATAATCATAAATGTTTCTCGAGCAGCAGATCAGCATATTATACTGATTTCTGAAGATCATGTGACACTGAAGACTGGAGGAATGATGCTGAAAATACAGCTGCGCATCACAGGAATAAATTACATTTGAACACATATTCACATAGAAAACTGCTATTTTAAATTGCAATAATATTTAAAAATGTTTAATGTCTTTTTGAAATAAATGCAAAAACTATCTAACCTAAATCTAACCAACCCCAAACTTTTGGATAAGTGTATATTATAGATTTCATTTTAATGGGTCAAATGAGGCAAACGGATGTGATAAAAAAATCCCCTTCTAAAGCATGAGTTGTGTCTAATCAGCTAATCAGAGGTTTGATGACTAAATCATCTACTCTCTCTCTGTCTCACATCAGACGTTTGCTGGGAATCATTACTAAGAAGGATGTTCTGCGACACATGGCCCATATGATGAACCAGGATCCCGAATCCATCATGTTCAACTAGCAGCGCTGTGCCGCGGACTGAAGCTGTACATACCGCACAACGTCTGATCTGTTACTAAACACACTTAAAACGTGGCCAAAAGCGGACGACGTGAAGATATACGAGTGTTTTTTTTAACTGCTGTTTTTGCCATGTTTTTATTTTACGTGCATTACTTTAAGCCGTGATGATCAGCTGTTAAGTGTGGGGCGTCTGACAGGTTTTACTGTGTTTTTGAAGCGAAAGCTGCTACACTGGATGTGAAATGTGCAGATGAGGGTTGTTTCATCGGTACGTCAGGTCTTTGTGAGTTTATTAAATGCAATAGGTCAAAATGAAAAAAATGATCTAGAATACTAATCTGCTGTATGATAGTGACTGTTTTGTCCAACACTAGGTTTGTGGGAATCATTTCCGTTTTGTTATTATTTATTAATTTAATGTGAATGTAACGAGAATGTTTTTTTTGCTGTCGAATTGAAACATGAATATTGTCCTTGTTAAAATAAACACTGCATCTCTGTTACAGATATTAATGTTCATCCGCTATTCCAATTCTGCACATAAAACTGAGGGTATGTTATAATAATAAAAAATATTATTATTAAATAACGAAGTATTTTCATTGCAGTAATTTTTAGATTTCATTCATAAACTATTTTGAGAAAGTACAGTGAAAATGACAGTATATATACAGCTCAAAAGATCAAACTAGAGAGGCGCAGTGAGTTAAATGCTTTTGAATTAAATATTGTTATTAAATGATGCATTGCATTATTTTATTAGATTTAATTCATGAAAGATTTTCAGAAAGTACAATAAAAAGATATATCTCAAAAGATAAATCTTGAAAGACAGTGAGTTGTATATTTCTAAGAAATATTATTATTAAAAAAGGATATATTATTGCATTATTTTATTAGATTTAATTCTTTAATTCATAAAATATTTTCGGAAAGTACAATAAAAATAATGCATGGATGGAAAGATGAATATTATAAATAAATGTGCATATATTTGTTTTCAATGCAGAAGACTGACAAAGTACCAAAACATCTGATTATTATTATTATTATAACAATAAGAGAATAATCTGCTACTGTGTTTCTTTTTACAGTAGCTTTTACAGGTCACAGTTTAATAGAAACAAACTCAAATGTATCAGATCTACTTTTTCCATTCACAAAATAGTTAAAAAAAAAAGTGTAAAAAGCTTCTTCAAATGGTAATTTCATCAAAAATAATAAGGAAAAGGTTGCAGTATGCAATGATAAATTGTATGTGACGTTGTGGTCACATGACGTCACCAGATGAGTTTGTGTCTTCATCAGATTTGGAGAAATGTAGCATTGCATCAGTGTCTCAGCAATGGATGCTCTGCAGTGAATGGGTGCCGTCAGAATGAGAGTCCAAACAACTGATAAAAACATCACAATAATCCACAGCACTCCAGTCCATCAGTTAATGTCTTGTGAAGAAACGAATCCATCATTAAGATGTTTTTAACTAAAATATGAGTCTATAATCAATAATAACGCTTCCTCCAGTGAAAAAGTGTTCTGGTGTGAATCAGGAGAGAAATCTGCACAGATCAAGCAGCGTTTAACCATAATCCATAATAACGCTTCCTCCAGTGAAGAAGTGTTCTGGTCTGAATCAGGAGAGAAATCTGCACAGATCAAGCAGCGTTTAAACAGCTCTAAACACATATGTGGCTGGATTTTGATGTGAGAGACAACAGGAGATGCACTTTTTCACTGGAGGAAGAGTTATTATGGATTATGGACTCATATTTTGACCAGAAGCAACAGTTTGAAGTTAAAAACATCTAATGATGGATTTGTTTCAGCTTTTGTCTTCTCCAGATGTTAACTGATGCACTGGAGTGCTGTGGATTATTGTGATGTTTTTATCAGCTGTTTGGACTCTCATTCTGACGGCACCCATTCACTGCAGAGCATCCATTGCTGAGACACTGACGCAGTGCTACATTTCTCCAAATCTGATGAAGAAACAAACTCATCCTAATCTCGGATGGCCTGAGGGTGAGGACATTTTCTGCATGTTTTAATTTTTGGGTGAACTGTTACTTTAACTTTCAGCAGTCTGATCACACAAGTCAAAAACAAAGATTGTATCAGTTCCAGGTCATTGGTCAAGTAGTATGTGATTTGAAGCGCTGCCCTAAAGGGGAATGGAGACTATGGTCGGCAGAGGGCCGATGGGAGGAGGGTTGTATTTCTCCACACGCATTAACCTGCGCAGAATATCATCCCGGTCTTTCGGCCAGCTGTAGACGTGCGTGTTTTGCAGCCAGGTGGGAATGTAACACTGAGAACGAGAAGAAAACAGGTCCTGCTTCAGTGAGAAACGCTGCAAATCTTACAGAAGCTGAAATGAGATTGATATTTTGCTTCACGAACCATGATTCTACAGTTCAGTACATTGCTCTGTGAAGTTTAGACTAGATTAACCGGTTTAGTGCTGTAACAAGCTTCCAAACATGCTTTGATTCGCTGAAATGCTTGAGAGAGAATTGCGGTGTCTGTTGAATTTCACAAACCTTTTTAGCCCCCGGGAACAGAATAGGAATGAACCTGTAGTTCCTGCAGCCGTTCTGAATGAATTCACTCTGCAGCTGATGGAGGCAATCAAACACATCAGCAGTGTCACAAAAACTACAGATGGTGTGTTTTTACACTATAAGCTAACAAACGTAACCAGAGCGACACTCTCCCTTAACCGAACCCTCGCAATTATATCAGTATGCTTGTTTTGACTAAGGCAGCCCATGCAATCCCAGAATGCATTGCAATAACCTCGGTGAAATATTTCAGCCAAGAAAGGATTTTATTCAAAACGTATGAGCAACTTAATTACAATAGTTTAATTTAATAAAAAAGTATTATTATTATTAATAATACACTACTACTGCTGCTAATAATAATAATTGCTATTATTTTAATGCATTCATTATTTGTGCGTGCAATTTATTTGTGTTCTTATTAAAATATCGCATGCTCACAGTAAACTCTATTGGAATTAGCAAAAGTATTAATAATTATAATATTATTGTTATTATTTTATTACATTCTGTATTTGTGTGTGCAATGCTTTTTACACTTATTAAAATATATTGCATGCTCACATTAAAATCTATTGGAATTAGAAAAAGTATTAATAATAATAAATTGTTGTTGTTGTTTTTATTTTATTGCATTTGATATTTGTGTGTGCAATGCATTTTTATGCTTATTAAAATATCACATAGCTCGCCCATGCTAAATTCTGTTGGAATTAGCAAAAGTATTATTATTATTATTGTAGTTGTTGTTGTTGTTGTTGTTTTTGTTATTATTTTAATGCATTCAAACTACTGGAATCAGCAAAAGTATTATTACTATTATTATTAATAATAATGATAATTCATAAAAACACAACAATAATAAAAATTGTTTTCAATGCATTCAATATTTGCATGTGCATCTCATTTTTGTGCCTATTAAAATATCACATTGCATGCTCACACTAAACTACTGGAAACAAAAAAAGTATTAATAATAATTATTATTATTATTATAATTATAAATTTTTTATTAGTAGTAGTAGTAGTAATAGTAGTAGTAGTATTGTGTATTATTAATTATTATGATTTAATCCATTCAGTATTTCCTAAACTCTATTGGGATCAGCAAAAGTATTAGCAATAATAATAAATGAAAGCAGAGCTTGTATTTTAGTAAGTGAGGGTTATATTGGGACCTGTTTGTGGATGTACACAGTGTTTGACGTTCTCTCGTCGCCCTCCACACTGGTATTCATGCCTGATATGGTCTCGTAATACCTCAGGCTGATGATGATGATGATCAGGTAATCTTTCTGCAGGGAGAGAGAGACGCTGTAACTGTAGCTGTTTAGAGGATGATGATGATGACATCACTTCCTGTCTCTGCGTGTTTACCTCATTGAGATATCGCTCCATGCAGTCGATCTTACTGATGCTGTTCAGCTGCTGCTCGAAAACATCAATCTGTGCACAAAGACGCAAGAATCAATCCAAACCCACACAACTACAGCTAAAACTACAGGAAACTGTATAATGATCTGTACATGCGTGTCAAAGCCGTTGTTCCTCAGCAAAGACACAAACTTAATGATCTCCTTCAAATGCTCTTCACTGTCAGCCTCGTACGTGACAAAAACTTTCCCTGTGTGGAGAAAAAAAGCACGCGACACACTTGAAAGAGTAGGTCAAACCGCCTCAAACTAATATGAAACCTTGCACTGTATTTTTCCTCTTCTGCATGAAATGACCTTATAATAATTACTATACATCAGGATCGGAAATTAATGAGGGCAAAAATGCTTACAAAAATTAAAAAAAGCCCCATAAATTAAATTAAATTCATTAAAAAAAAAATAATCTAAATCTATCATGGCTGCTGCGCTTAAAATACAATGTAAAAATGAATGAAAAGTGTCAATTCATGGCATTATTTTAGATCTGCGTTGCATCAGACTGACTTTTACACATTGTTTTTTGCATTGTTGAGTATTCCAGGATGATGGATGATGATCCGTAATGAAAATTCGCATTCCACGGGCTAAATATCACGTTATTGGGGTCGATTCGACCTGCGGACATGAAAAACAACCCGCGGCAACAGTGTTAAAGTAGCCCAATTCAGCATATATTGCCGTAGTCGTGTGTTTATTAGTCATGTTGAATCAATGAAAGCAGTTGAATCTTCTGTTTATTCAGCTGCAGTGATAGCCATTTTCTGGGTTTCTTCTGCGAGGCGTATTTGATGTTTCTCTGGCCTTTGGATGGAGATTTACTGCTGATCACAGAACCGTGCTTCACTGAAAGATACGCATGACAATCGCAGCTTCTGTCGAATCGCGGTCTTGATTCCATTTCGATTTATCGTGCAGCCCTAATACATTTTTCCCGGAAACAAGTTAAAATGTGGACTCATCTGAGCACAGCACACATTTCCACTGTCTTTTAGACTATCTGAGATGAGCTCTGGCCCAGAGAACCCGGCAGCATCGCTGCATAGAATTGATGTATAACTTTCTCCTCGAGTAAAAGAGATTCAAGTTGCATTTCTTGATGCAGCAGCAGACTGTGTTAAGTGACTGAGCCCATGTGGCTATATTTAACATGATGCAGCATGATGGTTTCTTATGCAATGCCATCTGAGGGCTCAAAGGTCAAGCACATTCACCTGAGGTTTCATGCCTTGCCCTACATGTACTGTGATTTCTCTGGATTCCCTGAATCTTTTCACAATAGTATGTATGGTACTTGGTGAAAGACCTAAATTCTTTGCAATTTTGCATTGCGAAATGTGATTTTTGATGTGAGTTTTGTTTGACACTTTCGTGAAATTTGGCACTAAGTGATGAGCCATGATCCAGCTTTGCTTGCAAACACTGACATGCTCCTTTTATACCCAAACATGATACCCTGACCTATTACCAATTCACCTACTTACTGTGAACTGTTTCAAAACAGTTTAACGTGGATATTCTATAACCTTTTCACTGTTATTCTGCCTCTGTCCCAACTTTTTTGGAGTGTGTTGCAGCCGTCAAAACCAAAATTTGTTAATATTTACAAAATACATTTACGTTGGTCAGTGAAAACTTTGGAAATCTTTTCTTTGTACTTTTGTCAATTAACAAATCACAAATGTAATTGATTGCTGTGATCAAAGCTGAATTTTCAGCATCATTACTCCAGTCTTCAGAAATAATTCTAATATGCTGATTTGCTGCTCAAGAAACATTTCTGATTATTATCAATGTTGAAAACAGATGTGCTGCTTCATATTTTCGTATAAACCGTGATACATTTTATCGTTCAAGATTCTTTGATGAATAGAAAGTTTAAAAGATTCAACAATCTTTTGTGACATTATAGATGTCTTCACTTTCACGTTTGATCAATTTATTGCACCCTTGCTGAATGAAACCATTAACCCAGCTAAAAAGGAACGTTCTCAGAACTTTGATAAGGTTCTTATTCTTAAGTTATGAACAAACGTTCTTCCAGTAACATTAATAGAATGCTCATTGAAAGTTTACATTATTTATACATTGTTTATGGAACATTCGATTTCTGAAACGTTAGTAGGTTTATCTAATGTTTTTTTTTTTTTAAATGTTACTACTTTTAGAACGTTCAGAGTAACATTCAAAAGTAACGTTCCCATAAAGTTTGCAAAATTATAAAATGGAATGTTCCCTTAGGGTTAGTTCACCCAAAAATGAAATTCTGTCATTAATTACTCGCCCTTATGTCGTTCCAAACCCGTAAGACCTTTGTTCATCTTCGGAACACAAATTAAGATATATTTGATGGAATCTGAGAGCTCTCTGACTCTCCATAGACAGCAACACAACTGAAATGTTCCCAGGTCCAGAAACGTAGCAAGGACATCGGTAAAATAGTCCATGTGACATCAGGGGTTCAACTGTAATTTTACGAAGCTACGAGAATACTTTTCATGTGCAAAGAAAACGTTAATAATGACTTTATTAAACAACTCTTCTCCTCCACATGCCGTCTGCAGCGGTGTGCCGCCATTGTGGAAAGAGTATCACGATGTATGCGCTTGTTTCTGCATCATGTAAACGACACGTTGCATGTTAAGGTAAGCAGCAGTGCCATGCGCATGCGTTGTTTACATGATGCAGAAGCACACTCTTAAAAATAAAGGTGCTTCACGATGCCATAGAAGAACCTTTTTTGTCTAAATGGTTCCATAAAGAACCTTTAACAACTGAAGAACCTTTCTGTTTCACAAAAGATACTTTGTGGCGAAAGAAGGTTCATCAGATTACAAAAAGGTAAGAAAGAGATGGTTCTTTAAAGAACCTTTGACTGAATGGTTCATTGTGGAACCAAAAATGTTTCTTCCTCCTGGCATCGCTCTGAAGAACCTTTTAAGCACCTTTATTTTTAAGAGTGCAAGCGCATGCGTCATGATACTCTTTCCACAATGGCGGCGCACTGCTGCAGACGGGATGAGGAGGAGAAGAGTTGTTGAATAAAGTCATTTTTGTATTCTTTGTGCACGAAAAGTATTCTCGTAGCTTCGAAAAATTACGGTTGAACCCCTGATGTCACATGGACTATTTTACCGATGTCCTTGCTATGTTTCTGGACCTGGGAACATTGCAGTTGTGTTGCTGTCTATGGGAGGGCCAGAGAGCTCTCAGATTCCATCAGAAATATCTTAATTCGTGTTCCGAAGATGAACAAAGGTCTTACGGGTTTGGAACGACATGAGGGTGAGTAATTTTAATTTTTGGGTCAACTATCCTTTTAACACTTATATTACACACAAATAATTTTTTTTGAAAATGTAAACAAAAAATGGATGTCTAGAATGTTCAGAGAACATTCAGAAATAACGTTTTCATAAAATAACGGGCACGTTAGAAAAACATTCTTGGAACAAATTTTTTTTAGCTGGGAATTTCCATTAAAAAAATCATCCCAATCCCAAACTTTTGCACGTAACGCACCTGAGGGTCTGTAGGGCGGCTGATGTCTGGGGCTGGAGCTGCAGTGATGGACGGGAATCATGTGACGCGGCGGTGGACCGAACTGACTGCAGCACGGCGGCCGCAGGTAAGCGATGGGGTACGAGGGCGAGGGATGGTGGTACATGTTCGCAGACGGAGGAAAGGAATGCAGAGATCTGGGATACTCCAGACTCTCCAGACTCGGACTACAGCTGCCCGGCAGAGAGTGAGGCCTGCTGGGGAAAAACGAGCCTTCATCCGAGAGCGTGTTGTAGACGGCAGACGGGAGGCAGGAGGGCAGGCTGTGAGGAGAATCCGCCCTGACGGGGCCGTCCCAGCTGGGGAAGGGCGTCTGATGGGTGTAGCTCACTGTGTTATGCTGGTGAATGACGGTTGTGGAACGGTTGTGAGTGACGTCTGGGTGAAGTTCTGACTCAAACTCTTCACTCCTGGTTTCGTCATTCTCCTCGGGATAGTTTAGAGACGTGTACTGATCGCTGCTGTGGGCCATGTGGGTCGGGTGTCTGACAAAAGAGAAAACACGATGATGGTAAAAAATGTGATTATATTTCAATGCATGTTATAGGTCTTATTGTAAATAAATCATCTGTGCATATATTTATTTTTTTACCTCATGATGATCAAATGGATCATCTGTCTTAACTGGATAACACAACTTTTGTGATGGAAATCATATGTGGTGGGAGAAAAA